TTAAGAATAAGGATAGATATGAAGAGATAGACAGATATAGATAGATGGATTGACAGATATAGGATTGATAGATAGATATAGATAGATAGAAAATATAGATAGATAGATAGATATCGATGGACATATATATATATATATATATATATATATATATATATATAGATAGATAGATAGATAGATAGATAGATAGATAGATGAATAGACACACACATATATATATATATATAGATAGATAGATAGATAGATAGAGATGGACATATATATATATATATATAGATATATAGATAGAGATGGACATATATATATATAGATAGATAGATAGAGATGGACATATATATATATATATATAGATAGATAGAGATGGACATATATATATATATATGAATAGATAGATAGATAGATAGATAGATAGATAGATAGATAGATAGATAGATAGATATGGACATATATATATATATATATACAGATAGATAGATAGAGATGGATATATATATATAGATAGATAGATAGATAGATAGATAGATAGATAGATAGAGATGGATAGATAGATAGATAGATAGATATGGACATATAGATAGATAGATAGATAGATAGATAGATAGATATGGACATATATATATATATATATATATATATATATATATATATATAGAGAGAGAGAGAGATGACACACATATATAGATAGATAGATAAATAGATAGATAGATATGGACATAGATAGATAGATAGATAGATAGATAGATAGATAGATAGATAGCAGCTAGATAGATAGATAGATAGATAGATAGATAGATAGATAGATAGATAGATAGATAGATAGATAGATAGATAGATAGATATTAATATTATGGATAGCTATGAACGAACTTCGATATGAATAGAATGAAAAAGAAATAAACCATTAACAATGAGAAACAATGAGGATATATAGATAGATAGATAGAATCAGACTGGCATAGATAGCGAGAGGGCGAGCGAGAAAAGCATTTATAAGTCATAAAAAGGGTTTTTGTCATTGATTAAATTTGCAGAAAAAGCCGCTGTCTTCACGGCGTAAACTAGCAAAGTCTCACTGATAAACAATGACAGTCCGAAAAAAAAAAAGGTCGGTGTGGGGGAGTAGATATAAACAAAAGAAAGTAAGGAAATAGGTAAAAAAAAAAAAAAGCAAAAACAAAATCATTACCTTCATGTCTTGTTGGTAAGCAGCACTTCATCCCCAGTTATCAAAAAAAAAAAAAAAAAAAAAAATACCACGATGGCAAATGTACTAACACCGGTAGTAAAAGTCAGTCTTGGTGATGTTTTTTCTTCTTTTTTTTTTTTTTTATTGTTTTTTGTTTTGTAAATAAATAATAAAAGCTGTCTTTTAAAATATTTCTTTCCTTTTTTTTCTTCGTTTTATTTCTTTCTTAATTCCAAATTTTTCTTTTTCTTTTTTCTAACATACAAGTAATGATTCGTTTATGTTTTAAGTCGTCTGCACCTTCCAATTCTACGGGAGAATGCGTATTGATTCGCTAGTTCTTATAAAGCTAGTTTCCTTCCCAAGCAAGCGTGTGTCTATATTGGTATATTATTATCCTGTAGAGCTTAACGTTACTCCCTTCGTGTGTACGTTTATGGATATATATCTATCTTTCGTGAAAGAGAAAGAGTTCGTTGGCATTAAGTAAAGTAGTCGGAAAAAGCGAGAGATATTTTACGTCACTCTATAACGCGTGTGTTATTCTTTAAAAATATATTTTTTTAAAAGTAGCAATAATAGTGAAGTTATATAGTGTTTGTTATTGTTGTTGTCATGTGTGTCCCTACGTATTTAATATTACTGCTGCCTTGTCGCACAAGTGGCGTTTGTGTGTTTTCAGTAATTACGGATCAACTCTAATAGAATTTGAAAAATAAGGAAAAATAAATAACTGGGTCCCGGACAGTTATCAGTCCATCAGCGCTTTATTTATTTTTTATTTTTTTTTTTTCCTTTCTTTCTCTTTTTTTTATGTTCTTCTGCGTGGTGTATCCCGTCCACGAGGCGATGCCAAAGAAGGCGACAAATAAGTGTTATCCAACATTTTCCCGTCAAAATATCACTTGCTGCAATCCGTTAAGTAACAAAAATTTTACCTTTTATAAAAGTGACATTACAAACACGAGGTAGCAGTCTTATTAATTACCCTTCGGAAATAAATAAATAAATAAAAATTAAAGGCTAGCAAGCAGGAAAGGTAATAGAAGTCATAATAGTCACAATAGTTGACTAGTGATGGAGGTAGTAGTCGTTGGGATGAAGAGTCAAAATAATAACAAGAACAAATAGTACAAATGAATAGCTCTTCATTCAGTAGTTTCTGTATTCACGTTTATAATAAAATACGGAATTGCTAATAATAATAACATTTCTGGAGAAAGTACAGGTTAAGTATTATTAGCAATAGTAGTTGTAGTGATTGTTGATTTTTTATACGCACAATAGTAGCATTACCTCTCTCAAGCCACCCACGACTCTCGAGGTGATGTCTTATATAGTGTGAAGAGTCGACCCGATTGAAATGAAGAAAGAACGCTTGCGGGATTGAGTTTTTTTTTGTTTGTTTGGTTTTTTTTTAATTATTTATTCTTTCTTAAATATAGTTGAGCGTTTGGAAAGACGCCCGTGTAAGCAGACTAAAATGGGATCGTCTGCTTTCCCTTCAGTAGGGAATTGGTTGGAAACTAAAGGGAAGCAAAACAAAGAAAGGTTGGGCTAGAACTGGATAAGCAAAATGGGTTACATGATAGAGAGATAAAGCAATAAAGCAGTATTTTGTATTGGAGTCAGGTGGAAAGAAAGAAAGAAAGAAAGAAAGAAAGAAAGAAAGAAAGAAAGAATTAGTGAAGTGACAAAGAAAAAATGTCGGAGAAAAGAAAGAGAAATAGAATGAAGGAGTTGGGAAGGAAAAGCATAGAAAGAAAGTAGCATGAATAAGTTAGAGAAGGAAGTAAGAAAAGGGAGGATGGAAGGAAGATAAACAAAGCAGAGAAATAAAAAAAAGGGAGGAAGAAAGATAAAAAAGAGAAATAAAAAAGGGAGGAAGAAAGATAAAAAAGAGAAATAAAAAGGGAGGAAGAAAGATACAAAAACAGAGAAATAAAAAAAGGAGGAAGAAAGGTAACAAAAACAGAGAAATAAAAAAAGGAGGAAGAAAGGTAACAAAAACAGAGAAATAAAAAGGGAGGAAGAAAGTTAAAAAAAATTACAGAGAAATAAAGAAAATCTAGATGGATAGACACGAGGAAAGTAAGAATGGCAGAAAAAATGAATCTGTTGAACGAAAGACTTTGAAAAGGAAGAAAATAAAAGAACCAGTGAATAGGAGGAAAAACGAAGGAAAGTTTAGAACTGTGGGAAATAAAGTGGCGAGAAGGAAAAGAAGAAGAAAGCAACGGAGGAAAGAAAAGAAACTACAAGAAATGAGGTATGAAACAGAGGTAAAGGAGAAAAAATGAAGCGAGAAGGGAATGAAAGAAAGAAAGAATAGAAGAAAATCAGGAAGGTGATGTCAAATACAGGAAAAGATAAAAGGGAAAGAAAGAATGGAGGAAGGAAGCAGTGAATAAAGGAAAGAAACAAGAGAGAAAATGTGAAAAAAATAGAAAGAAACTACAAGCAAGGAGAGGAAGTTTTCAGAAGAGGGAGACGAAAAGAAAGAAAGGATCAATGGGAAAGAAGGAAGGTAAAGGTAGAAATATAAACAAAGAAAGGAAGGAAAGAGAACAGAAAAGAAAGAAAATGTCGATAAAGAAAGTAAAAGGAATGAATGAAAAAGCGGAATGAAAGATGATACAAGAAACTGTGAATTGAAAAACCGCCATTGAAAGGATTTTTAGTTTCATCTCAAGCAAGGCAATAAAGCCACTAAGACGTAAAGAGGTGTATTGAGTGTTAGAGTATGAGAAAAACTACTATTAAGAAGAGAAAACAGTAAAAGAACAGAAATTAAGAAGACAAGATAATGATTGACATTGCATGTAAATTTTTGAACATTAAAGTTGACTGGATTGATTGATTTGTTATTTACGGTTTATCAACGTTTTGCAGGTTATTTAAAACCAGAAAATATTTTAGCTTGTAAGAGCTATTAATAATTTACTGATACAAGTTCTACTAATTAACCCATAGCTGGGGGAAGAAGAGTTTGAATTATACCTTCGCCTAAGTCATTTGCATGTAAGTTTATATAACGAACACGACTGGAATTTGAACTCGGCTCTTCCAAAGTTGATTGGAAATCAAGAAGCCACAAGAGAGATCTACAAACGAGAAGTGGGAGAGAAAAAAAAGCTGCTAGCATAGAACTTACGATTAAATCTAGCCATTTCAACTGTAAAATGATGAGACCTTACTGCCAATCTAGTACTGTGCTTAAATTCATAAAGTCTACGTCCTATAGAGGAAAGTTCATCCGAACAATTACCATGAAAATATTTAAATGTAAATATTCGTTACGGCGGTGGGAAAGGGATTGAAGCCGATATGCCAGATCAGGACAAATAACATTGCTGATTCTTCTATGGATTTTATCAAGGATCTCTAAATACATAGCAGAAGCACCAGACTAGATGTGACAGTAATATTCAGGGAATAGACAAATGGTAGAATTATAACTGTGTAAGAAAGATTCTGGAAAAATTGTCTATCACGAAACAGGGAACCAACTTTCCTGGCAGGAGACCTAACAATTGCAGGAAAGACGTAAAAAATGGAAGAACATTTTGAATGTTGAAGAGAGTAAAAGAGCGAGAAAAAAAAAAGAAAAAGAAAAGAATACCGAAGAAGAGGCCGAAAAGGGGGAAGGAAAATGACGAGCGAAGAAGAAATAAAGATGAGAACAATTGTTCTTTTTTTTTAATTAGAAAAATGGTGGGGGGGGAGAGAATGAAGTTTGAAAGTTGAATGAAAGCAGAAAAGAGATAAAGAAAAGAAAGACTGAATAAGAACTGATGAAAAAGAAATATTAGCATGTAAGAAAGGATGAATGAAAATGAAAGAAAGAAAGAATAATTGAAGGTACGGCAAAGTGTGGTGGGTGGGGAGGAAGATAGAGAACAAGAGAGAAAAAATAAGGCGAAAGAAAGATGAAAAAGATGAGAAACACGAGAATTCAAACGAAGCGACAGACGACGAACAGACATATAAATGAAACAACAGATGATCAAACAGACTTATAAGACATTTAAAAAAAAACGACGACAGACGAACCGAGAGACAAACGAAGCGACAAAAAAGCGAGTGAAAGAAAGAAAGAAAAAGAAAAAAGCGGATGAAAGAAAGAAAGAGAAATAAGCAGGTAAAAGAAAGAAAGAAAGAAAGAAGTGTGAGAGAAAGAAAGAATCAGAAAAAAGTGTGAGAAAGAAAGAAAGAAAGAAAGAAAGAAAGAAAGAAAGAAAGAAAGAAAGCGGGTGAAAGAAAGAAAGAAAGAAAGAAAGAAAGAGAAATAAGCAGGTGAAAGAAAGAAAGAAGTGTGAGAGAAAGAAAGAATCAGAAAAAGTGTGTGAAAGAAAGAAAGAAAGAAAGAAAGAAAGAGAAACAGCGGGTGAAAGAAAGAAAGAGAAAAAGCGAGTGAAAGAAAGAAAGAAAAAGAAAAAAGCGGGTGAAAGAAAGAAAGAGAAATAAGCAGGAGAAAGAAAGAAAGAAAGAAAGAAAGAAAGAAAAAGAAAGAAAGAAAGAAAGAGAAATAAGCAGGTGAATGAAAGAAGTGTGAGAGAAAGAAAGAATCAGAAAAAGTGTATGAAAGAAAGAAAGAAAGAAAGAAAGAAAGAAAGAAAGAAAGAAAGAAAGAAAGAAAGAAAGAAAGAGAAAAAGCGGGTGAAAGAAAGAAAGAAAGAAAGAGAAAAAGCGGATGAAAGAAAGAAAGAAAGAAAGAAAGAAAGAAAAAGAAAGAAAGAAAAAACGGGTGAATAAAGAAACCTGATAGAAAGTATAATAGTGTTGTGGTAGGATCCACCTA